CTTGAAAATAAAATCTTTTTAAAAAAGATCCCTACTATGGAGTTTCAGGCATTGCTGCAGTGGGTGGGGAGGTATAAATCCAGATTTCCCTTCTGGCCCCAGCAACTAATAAATGCCTTGTGGAAAAGCCTTTGGATCCAAAGCCTGACAGGACAACTAGCCCTTTGATTTCTTTGAGTTTGGCTTCGGATACAGGCTCTGAAGGGACAAGGATGGGTGTCCCTTTCCTCGTTCAAGCCTTTTCTTCACTCCTGCCCTTACCTCCTTCCTCAGCCTGCAGTCAGCAATTGCTAAGAAGCTTACAAGTGAATGTATCAGAAGATTCTGAAGATGGCTCTCAGAAGGAAGAAGGTACATGTGCTTCTATCAATAGATAATATTAAATTTGAGTCATCAGTGTCTAATTTTGGGTGCCACGTTTCAAGTTTTGTGTGCCAAGCCATTTGGTCTCACACTGGTCAGACACATGCATTGTGAATCCCGGACTCTCATTTCATCTGTGTAAGTTTCTGTGTGCCTGTATGGGTACACCTTGGTTGGGGTATTGACCTCAGTGTGTCCTTGCCCTTCGAGAGGGAAGGGAGAGCACTGATAAAATGTCCCATTTGCCACTGAATACTCAACAATAGCTACCTGGCTTAGGGCTTCACACACACAGCCGCCCAAAAAAGATATGTAGAGCAGATGAAAGAACTTCTACTGAAGTCAGCTAGACTCAGTTGAGCCCAGCTTTTTACAAAGAGACTTTGCTGAGAAAAGACTGGAAGTTCTAACATCCTAAAGGTGTCCCAGGGAAAAAATATGGCCAATTAAGAAAAGCCAGTGTAGCAAGGCTCCTAGCTGGAGCCTAAGCTACCTCCATCCATTGTAAGGACCTTAGATGCTCAGGGCCTAACAGGCAGGCTGGTAGATGGCCCTCCCAGGAGACAGAAGTCTCCTGCATGTGAACTCATCCTACTGCAAAAACGGTCAAGCAGGCCAACCTGGGCCCATGAACAAGCCTTAGTCATCAGTGAGGAATGGTGATGCCAGAGACAACACAAAGTCTGCCACTTGGATCTGACCCCAGACCAGCTCTAAATGTCCAAAGGCACTAAGCAAGTCACTTGCTCATGCTCACGCACTAGGCAGCACAGCTTAGAGCCCAGGTTTTGAGGTCATCAGGTTTAGAGATGGGGTCTAAGTCATGGCTCCGCTTCCTAAATAACCGTGTGACTTCTGTAAACTAACTTCCATTTCCTGACCTGTGGAGTAGAGGCAAAATACTAACCCGCCGAGTTGCTGTGAGGATTAAATGCACCTGCACCAAAAAATACTCAATGAATGATGGTGGCCCTCATCATCAAAGCCAACCCTAACAGAGTACAGTTGACCCTTGCACAACGTGGGGGTTAAGGCTGCCGGCCCCCAAGCAGTGGAAAATCCATGTATAACTTCGCACTCCCCCCAAAATTAACTACTACTAGCCTACTGTTGACTGAAAGCCTTACCCATAACATATATAGTGGATTAGCATGTATTTTGTATGTTGCATGGATTATATACTGTATTCTTACACTAAGGTAAGCTATAGAAAAAACATGAAGAGGATCATAAGAAAAGAGAAAATACATTTACAGTACTATACTGCGTTTACTGGAAAAAACCTACATATACGTGGGCCCCCACAGTTCAAATCCATGCTGTTCAAGGGTCCACAGTAGCTCATTGATAGGTTCTTCCAGTTCTAAGAGTCCTTAACAGTTCTGTGATTATAATGTTAATTTCTAGAACAACGAGACTAAAGGATAAAATCAACCCAATGAGATTTTTCAGATAAAGGTTAAGTGGACATATTATAATGGCCTGAAGATTACTGCATTTATCTCAAAAAGTTTTGAGAATGGTAAGCAGTATTTCTGTGCCATACTCACACAGTGCACCACCATCTCCCACTGTTGGGATCAACGGAATTTGTTTTCTACAGTTCACAAGTTTGTAGATCTAAACCAAGCCCACATTCTGCTCTGGGAATGCATGTTTAGGACAGACATGAATCACAGCCCTGGGCTATTTCTTTGTCTTAGAACATTTTTCATGAAAGTATTCTTTTCACTTTGTTGAAGGACAGGATGTTCCAAATCAGTGAATCACTTTTATTTATAAAATAGAAGGGATGAGGTGACTTCAATGAAAATGGCAGAATAAGGATCTCGAAAAATCTTCTCTCCGTCAAAGCAATGAGAACAAAAGCAAAAACGGTCCGAATCAACTGGCTTGTGCTATTTCACATCCCAGGCTGCTTGTCCAGGACGCCTAACCTGAACTAAAATCCAATTATTTTTGACTGAGTCCCTCCTTACTGATAGTAAACAAATCATTATTAGCTCGCAGCATTCATTTAAAACATATAGTTCAAGGGAGACAGAGTTATTACCCAGCGAAAAAAACCCAGTTGTCTTGACTGCTTGCTGCCAAAGCCAACTTACATATGCATCTCTTTCCCTTCTTCCCATCAAATAATGATCCACCTCCCATTCTAGACACACACACACACACACACACAGAGCCAAGAGAAGAGACAAGAGCCAACGGAGAGAACGTATTGTGGGAGGACGTGAAGCACCCTGGAGGAATGGGACCTGATGGAGCACAGTGGAGACCGCTGAAACTGCCAGGGGAGCAGGCTGATTTGCTCCACAGAACCCAAGAGAAGGTCAGGAATTTTAGGCATGAGACCCCTGTGAGGTGGGAATGGAAAGGGGGGAGCTGAAAGTAAGAGGACTGGTAGACCTCTTCTCTCCAGGTCCCTCCACCTACCCCCACTCGTGCATCCCAGGCGGGGCAGGGGGTGCATTTCTGGGGAGACTGTACCAGACAACTGGACGCAGGAGCCCCAGGAACTCTAAGGACAGGAGCCTTTACCAAAAACAGAAATTAAGTGAACTTCTCCACACACCAAACGGTGAGACCCCCCAGCCTCTTCCCTGACTCAGCTCCCAGAACACTGGCAGCTGGCTGTACCCCAAGCTACTGACATGTGCAAGAGAAAAGGCCTAGGGATAGCCAAAGGAAAAACCAAAACCATGTCCTCCTCTCGTCAATCAACTGTGAAATCCACTGGACATACTCCCCACCTGTATTAATGTCCGGTGCCTGCTGTGACAAATTACCATAAATTTGGTGGTTTAAAACAAAAGAATTTTATTCTCTCATCATTCTGGAGGCCAGAAGTCTGAAATCAGTGTCACTGGGCGAAACTCAAGGTGTCGGCTGGGTGCTGCTCCCTCTGGAGGCTCTAGGGGAGAGTCTGTCCTTGCCTCTTCCAGCTTCTGGTGACAGCCACCTTCCTTGGCTTGTGGTCGCATCACTCCAACCTCTGCCTCTGTGACCACACTGCTTTCTCCCCCTTCTCAAATCTCCCCCTGCCTCCCTCGTATAAGGACACTTGTGTGTGCATGTGGGGCCCAACAGAGAATCCAGAACAATCTCCCCATCTCAAGATCCTTCACGTAATCAAGTGGGCAGGACGGTTTCTGCCACGCAAGGGAACATTCACAGGTTCTACCAACTAGGACATGGCCACATCTCTGGGGCTATTATTCAGCCCAGCACACCACCCACATACAGAAAGTTTTCAGTCAGCCTTTTAGTTTCTCACATTTGTTAGTGGGATCAAAATTTTTTCACCTTTGTTGTGTATCTGAACTTCTTGTTACATGAATGGTCCACTCCCAGCCTTCATCTGTTTTACTTTTCTATTGATGTTTTTCCTCTAGATTGTTAAGAGTTTAAATAAGGCCATTAGCCCTTTATCTGCCACATATATTGAAAATACTTTTTTCCGAATTTGCACTTGCCTGTTAGCTTTGTTTACAGTTTGTCTTCTAATATACAAGAAATGTTAAATGTTGTGTGGTCAAATCAAATACTTCTCCTTTGCAGTTCACCCACTGCTCTGATCTCAGAAAATCTGCCTTATCCTAAAATTAGATAGAGGCTAATATATTTTCTTCTGGTTTTATGCTTCATTTAATTCTTTTATCAATATGGAATTTATTTTAAGATGTGGTAGGAAGAATCTAACTTAATTTCTAAGTTAATCAATTGCCCAGCATAAAATATTCTCTTCCTTTCCCTACTGATTTGTCATACCATCTTTATCAAATATAAAAATCTTATATAGTCTAGGGTCTGTTTCTGAACTCTTATCTAAATTCCTCTTTCAAATGTTCACTGAACATGTCTTTCTCCATCTGGGTTTCTAGTTACAAATAGGTAACTCAAGTCCATCAAACCACCCTAAATTAATTTCATCTTGTCTTAATCCTTCAAAATGTTTATATAATTATTTGTTTTTTGGCATCCTATCAGTTAGTTAATTATCTAAAGGAGTTCATTTTTATCAAAACACATCATATACTTGGAAATTTGTAGAAACAGGAAGGCATTTTCACATTTTTGAAAGAAACCAGAGATACTTTTCCTTCTTGTTGTTAATACAATGATCTATTGAATATCTCTGAGGATTTTATTAATTAAATCAATAAATACCATGTGGCAGCCATTTTTCTAGGTGTTATGTACACAGGACAAAACCGGATAAAAGTCTCCACCTTCATGAAGCATATATTCCAGTGCGGGGAGACAGATAAAACAGGACAGATTAATGTCTGAGTGTAGTGTATCAGACAGTGATGAGCATTACAGAGAAAAATAAACCAAGGAAGAGGGCACAGGAAATTCTGAACAAGTGACTAGGGATGACTTCACTGAGAAGGTGATATGAGTCAAGACCTACAGAAAGGAAAGGAGGTTTTACTTTTCTTCTATAACTTGACACAAATGGGTTACTTGCCTTGAAATCCCTGGTATATCTTCAGATATACTTCAAGTATATTTTAAATCAATTACATTAATCATTCATTGCTTATCTACTACAGTGATCAAAATATTAATTTTGATATATCAAAATGAACCACTGCATATTTTAAACATCAAATTCATCATGAGTTAATTGTCTACAATATACTTACAGGAGTGAAGCAGCTTGTTGGAAATCTTTGAACTGTAGAACGAAATACGAAGCTCCTATATAAAAAAAAAAAAGACGATGTACGAAATCTATTTTTTTTTTTTTTTTAAAGATTTTATTTATTTATTTGACAGAGAGAGACACAGCGAGAGAGGGAACACAAGCAGGGGGAGTGGGAGAGGGAGAAGCAGGCTCCCCGCTGAGCAGGGAGCCCGATGCGGGGCTCGATCCCAGGACCCTGGGATCATGACCTGAGCCGAAGGCAGACGCTTAACGACTGAGCCACCCAGGCGCCCCACGAAATCTATTTTTTAATGTGGGAACTTTGTTAACTTATTCCCTATCTCTCACTAAATTTTTAAAAATGCTATTCTAGATATGATGGGCATAAATAAGGTTAAAAGCCATTAGTATTGGTTAAGTATGTAAATAAAAAGGCATGAGTGAAATTATTAAAAGCAATTTAATAAGTATATAATTACCTGGAAGCGTGCTTGGGAACCGGTGCAGGAAGGAGATCATATTGCCCTGGTGAAAGCTTAACTGACTACATAGAATGGACAAGGACACCAAAAATAGATTAATACAGGTCTTAAGCTCACTTTATCTTATCACCTGTCATTATTCATAATCCTTTATTTTATGACCATACGGCATTATGTAATTTTTTCTTGATCTTAATAGTGGAAAAGTTACATTTTCAAAGATGGAGCTTCAAAACATTCAACAAATATTCCCTTTTCACGGTACATTTTATGATAGTGTGCCTGAGATGATGCATAGAAAAATGCTGTACAATTGATCATATTTTAAATGTACTAAATTCAACAAATCCATTCACCTACCATTTGGTGAGCCTGCTCTGTGAGTAAAGTACTGCTGGGTATGGTGGGGAGTACAACGGTAAGAGAGATATGGCCCCTGGCCCGCAGGCACATACATAAACTATTCTAATATAAAATACTATAAATAAAATTATAAAAGACAGATTGGAGACTTGAGGGTCGGGAGAGATTAAATCCAACTGAGTGACCCACAGCTAATCACATACTCAATCGTAGAAAGCTAAAAGCTTTTACCCTAAGGTCAGGAATAGGACAAGGGTGCCCACTTTCTCCATTCCTATTCAACATAGTATTAGAAGCTCTAGCCAGAATAATTAGGCAAGAAAAAGAAATAAAAGGCAATCAAATTGTAAAGAAAGAAGCAAAACTGAGGGATGCCTGGGTGGCTCAGTCAGTTAAGCGTCTGCCTTCAGCTCTGGTCATGATCCCAGAGCCCTGGGATCAAGTCCCACATCAGGCTCTTTGCTTAGTGGGGAGCCTGCTTCCCCCTCTGTCTGCAGCTCCCCCTGCTTGTGCTCTGTCTCTCTGACAAATAAATAAATAAGATAAAAAAAAGGAAGAAGAAGAAGCAAAACTGTCCTAGTAGGCAGATGACATGATCTTGTTTGTTTTTTTAAGATTTTATTTATTTATTTGAAAGAGAGAGATAGTGAGAGAGGGAACACAAGCAGGGGGAGTGGGAGAGGGAGAAGCAGGCTTCCTGCCGAGCAGGGAGCCCAATGCGGGGCCCAATCTCAGGACTCTGGGATCATGACCTGAGCCAAAGGCAGACACTTAACTGACTGAGCCACCCAGGTGCCCCAGATGACATGATCTTATACATAAAAATACCCTAAAGACTCCACCAAAAAACTGTTAAAATAAACAAAATTAGTAAATTTACAGGATACCAAAACAAATACAACAATCAGTTGAGTTTCCACAGACTAACAATGAACAATCTGAAAAAAAATTAAGAAAACAATCTCATTTACAATAGCATAAGAAACAGTATATTCTTAGGAATAAATTTAACTAGGGAGGTGAAAGATCTATAAACTGAAAACTATAAGACATTGATAAAAGAAATTAAAGAAGGCACAAATAAGTGCAAAGTTATCCTGTGTTCATGGATCAGAAGAATTAATATTGTTAAAATATCCATACTACTCAAGGCAATCCACAGATCCAAAGCAATCCCTATCAAAATTCCAAATGCATTTCTCATACATGTAGAAAAAAATCCTAATATTGATACGGAATCACAAAAGACTCCAAATAGTCAAAGCAATCTTGAGAAATAACAAAGCTGGAGGCATCACACATCCTGATTTCAAACCATATTACAAAGTTATAGTAATCAAAACAGTGTGGTACTAGAATAAAAACAGACACATAGACCAATGGAATAAAGTAGAGAGCCCAGAAATAAACCCACACATACGTTGTCAACTAATATTTGACAAGAGCACCAAGAATACACAATGGGTAAAGGATAGCCTCTTCAATAAATGGTATTAGAGAAACTGGATATCCACATGCAAAAGAATGAAACTAGACCCTTATCTTACACCACTCACAAAAATTAATTCAAAATGGACTGAATACTTAAATGTAAGACCTGAAGTATCCATAAGACTCCTAGCAGACAACATAGGGGAAAACTCCTTGACAGTGGTTTGATCATTGATTTTTTGGGATTTTTTTGATAAGCTGGTAATATCCAAAATATAGAAGGAACTCAGACAACCCAGCAGCCAATAATAATAATAATAATAAATCTGATTAAAAATGGGCAAAAGACCTAGATAGACATTTTTCTAAAGAAGACATACCAAAGGCCAACATGTAAATGAAAATGTGCTCGACATCACTAATCATCAGGGAAATACAAATCAAAACCATAATGAACTATCACCTCACACCTGTTAGGAAGGCTATTATCAAAAAGATAAGAGGTTAAGTGTTGGTCAGGATATGGAAAAAAGGAAACCCTCGCGCACTGTTGGTAGGAATGTGAAATGGTGCAGCCACTATGGAAAACAGTATGGAGGTTCCTCAAAAAATTAAAAAATAGAATTACCATATGATCTAGAAATCCTATTTCTGGGTATATATCCAAAGGAAACAAAATCACTCTCTCGAAGAGATATCTATACTGCCATGTTCACTGAAGCAGTAATCACAAATAGCCAAGCTATGGAAACAACCTAAGTGTCCACTAATGGATGAGTGAATAATGAATATATATATGATATAAATGCTATATATATGTGTATGATCATATGTGTGTATGTATATGTGTGTGTATATATATATATATATATCTCACAGGAATATTATTTAACTGTGAAAAAAGGAATCCTGCCATTTGCCACAACATGGATGAACCTGGAGCACATTATGCTAAGTGCAATAAGCCATGAAAGGCAAATACAGTTTTGTATCACTCATACATGGGACCTAAAAGGGTACTCATAGGGGCACCTGGCTGTCTCAGTTGGTGGAGCATGTGACTCTTGATCTTCGGGTTGTGAGTTTGAGCCCCACACTGGATGTAGAGATTGCTTAAAAATAAAATCTTTAGTCAAAATGGCGAGCAGGCCTGCAGTTGCAGCATCAAGCCGGTGGCTGGAGGGTATTCGAAAATGGTACTACAATGCTGCAGGGTTCAATGAGAGATGGGGTTAATGAGAGATGATACAATATATGAGAATGATGATGTGAAAGAGGCCATAAGAAGGCTTCCTGAGAACCTTTATAACGACAGGATGTTTCGCATTAAGAGAGCACTGGACCTGACCATGAGGCATCAGATCTTGCCTAAAGAGCAGTGGACAAAATATGAGGAGGATAAATTCTATCTTGAACCATATCTGAAAGAAGTTATTCGGGAAAGAAAAGAGAGAGAAGAATGGGCAAAGAAATAGTGATGGAGTTGAAATCTGTGGTTGCAGCTGCCCTCAAATATTTTTAAGAAGTTGAATAAACCTGAAATGTACAATTTAGGACTATCTGAGCTGCAAATGTATTACTTTAAATAAATGTCTATGGTGATTAAAAAATAAATAAATAAATAAATAAAATCTTTAGAAAAAAAAAAAAGAGGGTATTCATAGAAACAGAATAGAATGGTGGTTGCCAGGGGCTGGGGGTGGGGAAATGGGGAGATGATTGTCAAAGGGTACAAACTTTCCGTTATTATATGAATAAGTTCTGGGGATATAATGGACAGCATGGTGACTATAGTTAATACTGTATTGGATGCTTGAAAACTGTTGAGAGTAGATCTTATATGTTCTCACCACACACACACAAAATAGTAGCTATGAGAAGTGATGGATGTGTTAATTAACCTGATGTCATAAGCATTTCACAATACATACAAATATAGTTTCTTTTTTGGGGGGAGGTGAGGGAGGGACAGAGGGAGAGGGAGAGCCCACTGCGGGGCTCCATCCCACAACCCTGAGATCATGACCTGAGCTGAAATCAAGAGTCTGACACTTAACTGCCTGAGCCACCCAGGCGCCCCACACAATGCATACAAATATAAAATCATCATGTACACCTTAAATATATACAATTTTACTTGTCAATTATACCTCAATAAAGCCAGGGGGGAATAATTGAATAACTAAATCCACCTGAGTGGTTTAAAGATGGCACAGACTGAAATTTGAGTGGGGTTTTAGGGAAGGCAGGACTTCCGCAAGGGGGCCACAGAGGATATTTTGAGGAATGTTGCAGAAGAGACTGTCTCTCTCTCTCTCTCTGCCCACTGCCAAACTTGTTGCAAAGTACCTGGGAAGCTCCACTGTCTCTGGATCTATAGATATTAGCCCAGGAGTATGTGACGTAAGGGAGTGTCAGGAACCGGCACGCACAGAGAGTGGAATGTGTGACAGGGGAGGAAGAGAAGGAAGGAGAACTAGAAGCCAGGGAAAAGAAGACAGACCCCATCTCCAGAACTTCCTATGTTGAAGGAGCTGGCAGGGTGGAGTTGGGTTACAAAATCCTGGGAAGAAGCCTTCCTTAAGTGAACAATCTCCCCCAACCCCTATTATTTTAAAATCAGATTTAAAGATACAATACTGCCTTTGCTGAAAATGAGACATCCATATCCTGGCATTATCTGCCACATGGAAGTTCAGCTATTATATTTTACCCCACAGCTGTTTTCACATATTAATATAATTTTGATTGCAGAGGCAGCTTTTCATGGATACAGTGATAATAACAGTAAATACAGACTTTATGATGAAATACATACATTGTTCTGATGCAACCGTGCTTGTTAATTGCTCACTTGACATAATAAACACCAAGGAAACATGAGTTTGTTTAATCATACCATGGCAGCACAGGAATGTATTTTAAGTAAGCGGCTTTCTTAGGGGCCATAGCATTTTATTTCTTGATTTTGATGATGGTTACATGGATATTTGCTTTCTATTTAAACTGTGGCTATATGCTTTATACTCATTGCTCTTGTACTCTCCCTCTCTCATGCACATACACACACATACACAGGAGAAGAAATAAGAAAGAGAAGTGAAAAGTGAGGGAAAAAAAACCCTTAAGCTGCTGTTTGTTCTATGCTCAGCAATCACAAAAGATTTATGTAATAAAGTACTCATGGAAAAACTCTTAGACAGCATTAATCTAGAAAGGAATACTGATTACCCAAAGCTTTTCTATTTGTCCTACTTTACTTGCATTGGCCATTCTTTGCTATTTAATATAGCTGAGAGAGGGCTGATTTTTTTCCACAGTCTTAAATAGAGATTCACATAAGAGACTGTTTCTTTGCACATTGCTGAACTTGTTGCAAACTGTGTGGTTGGGTTTAATGGAATATATATATATACATATATATATATATGAGAATGAATGAAAAAGAATGTATATATGCGTGTGTATATATGTAGATGCATATGTGCATGCACACACACACACACACACACACACACTTCCTAAATCCTATATATGCTTCTCAATTCTTTATTTGTAATGTAAGGCTCAGAGAATCTAGACAATGTGCCCATAATAATACCTGACCCTAGCTAATTGTTTCAGTCCGAGTTGACTAGGCATTCAGAAATCTTGCAATACCTTGGAGTCATAAAATACGGCAGGATGATATCAGTGCAGACACTTAATTCAGTTGTGTTGTACCAGAACCCTCAATGTCAGAAAACTGGAATAAGTGAAAACATCCAACTCTCTTTATTAAGTCCTGGGTATGACAATATTTTGAAGACCTGGATCCATAAATAGGTGGGACGGAAGGAAACAGATTTTCATCCCTTTAGAAGCCCTAGCAGAATAATCACAAGGTGAATGCAGCGAATGGGCTGGTAGGTGCAATATTTTTAGGCACTATCGGTAGAAATTTCATCAAATGTACCTTCTCTCTGAGAAGTAAAGTATCTTATGTCATATGAAAGTATCACTGATTCACTACTCACACTTGGGTCTGAGAAATAGAGGACACAGGACTTTCTCAAAAAGATGCGTGCCTCATACTAGCAATGATATTGTCCTTAATTTTGCCAATACTATGTACTTTTCATCAGCTCCAAATGAACTAAGAATTATCAGTGGGTCCCAGTCCCTGAGACAAGTTCTGTGAATCCATTTTTCAAAATTCATTTTCACTGGCCACTCTCTTGACCTATTTGCATGTGACAAGTATTACTTTGCCTTGCAGGTACTCTTTGAGAGCTCAACCTCAAAAACTATTTGCAAAATGAGCCAACTCTGAGGGCTGCCATGTTTTTTATTTAAACGCATGATGTGGGGCGGCCTGGGTGGCCCAGCCAGTTAAGTGACCGACTCTTGATTTCAGTTCAGGTCACGATCACAGGGTCGTAAGATGGAGCCCGACCACAGGCTCCGTGCTCAGTGAGGAGTCAGCCTGAGATTCTCTCTCCCTCTGCCCCTCCCCCCTGCTCACGTGCTTGCCCTCTCTCTCTAAAATAAATAAATAAATCTTTTTAAAAATGCACAATTAATTGTTCCATCTACATTTTGTGTTTCATTATCCCTACATTGAAGTCTTGAGTTCCCTACAATATTACTTGCCAGTCCCTCCTTGGGCACAAGGTTTCTCTCCATTGATACTTTGCTCAATGCAAAACCATTCCGTTGAAAATTCCACCAGCCATTATTTTTACCATGGAAGGCTTTTCAAATTAACATGTGTTCAGAGACATCATCATCACAGCTATAAACACAGCTACCAATGATCAAGGAATCAGCCAGATTTTCTCAACCTCAGTCTCCCAATCGGCTGTTCAAGGATGTCTTTTGAACACATTAAAATGGATCCTTTGGGGGTGCTGGGTGGCTTAGTCGGTTGAGCATCTGACTCTGATTTCAGTTCAGGTCATGATCTCAGGGTTGTGAGATCGAGCCCTACATCGGGCTCTGCACTCAGCAGAGTCTGCTTGGGATTCTCTCTTTCCCTCTCCCTCCCCACCCCCACTCTCTCTCTCTCTCTTTAAAATAAATCTTTTTAAAAATTGTGAAGCTGGAGAATGTTATTCTGTGTTAATAAATAACGACAATGTATACTCTATCTACCTCAGATTCAAATTATTATTTTACTGAGCTCTGCTTTTAAAAAACCAGAATTGTGAGTTTTACTGGTGAGTAAACAATGTTACATCTGAATATCTCTCCTCCTGAGAACATTATCGTATACCCTTTGAAACAGAAAATTAGGAAAACATTTAATTCTTTCTACTTTCTACTTGGCCTACCCTCAACAACCCCTAAAAGCAAGAAGAGAGGAAGTAGAAGGGCAGTAAACAGTGGTGCAGAATGAGGAAGAATGATTTTGCACTGGAGGTGGCCAGAATGATTTCACATGTAGCATGGTTACCCGATACCAAGCCATAAAAGTCTCAGCATAATTTAGTGTTTGTATTCATCCACTGAAGCAAACAGGATAAGATTTACCCAATGAACATTTATCACTCTGTCCTGTTTCAAAGCTATAATTTGCAGAGCAGTAGGAAGGGTTTACGTGTTGGCTATGATGTGCTCATCCTGCTGAAAATTTCTTGTCCATCTTCATAACCACAGCCCTTGTATTTCATTCAACCTCCAGTTACAATGCATTTCTTCTCAGGTTATCACAACAATATTCTGATAAAGTTGTAGAGGTTGATACTGTTACTGGCTTCTTTATAAATGGGAGGCCCAGGGGTACCTGGGTGGCTCAGTCAGCTATGCGTCTGCCTTCGGCTCAGGTCATGATCCTGGGGTCCTGGGATGGAGCCCCGAGTCAAGCACCCCTCTCTCTCTGATCCTCCCCCCTGCTTGTGTGCTCTCTGTCTCTCTCTCTCATGAATTAAAAAAAGAAAAAAATCTTTGGGTGCCTGGTGGCTCAGTTGGTTAAGTGTCTGCCTTCGGCTCAGGTCATGATCCCAGAGACCCAGGATCAAGCCCCGCATCAGGCTCCCGGCTCAGCGGGGAGCCTGCTTCTCTCTCTGACCCTCCCCCACTCATGCTCTCTCCCTCTCTCTCAAATAAATAAATAAATAAAATCTTTAATAAATGGGAGGCCTAAAGTCCCAAGTCCCAAAGGCCAAGTCCCAAGTCTACCTCTGCCAGCCTGGAACAGGCCTTCCAGAAGGTCATGCCCCTCCCTTGAAACACCTACTCTGGACCACACATCCAAACTCTGCCCCTCGTTTGTAGCCAGAGGCACACTGGAAAAAGCCCCAATTTGGGCTCAGAAACCCTCAGTTAAAAGTGTTGCCTCACCTACCTATCAGTTCCATGCCTCTGAACAAGTGACTTAGTATCTACTCACCTTGGTTTTCACATATAAAATGGGGATAACATCTGTTGCGCCTATTTCAGAATGCTGGGGAAGAACAACTAAGAGAATACGTGTGGAAACTCACAGTAAGCCATTAAGAGCCACATAAATGTCATGTATTATTCAAGGTCTGGCTTGGGTCTTACTTAATCCAGGGAGCCTTCCAGCTTTTCAACCCAGCCTACACTGAACTCCCCCTGGCATTTCCTGCCATGCTATTTATCTTAGCCCTTGATATATTTGCTCTTGTATTGTTACTCAAATACTCCCCAGTCAGGAACATCTTCCCTGCACAGAACCTAGCCCGAGACTGTAAGCAAGCACTGCTCTCTCTATTACCAATGTTATGAATGAACCGACAGAGCAGAGAGTAGAATCTGGCCTTCCTGGTACCACCGTGTTCACTTCTACAAGACATTTTTTAAAAGCTTTCCTTATGGTATCCAGTTATATTCACACTCTAATTAAAGGGCACTACTGACTGGAAAAATTTTCTCTTTAAAAGAAGAGGGTACACTGTATAAACTGCTTGAGGGAACAGAAGTATGGCCCAATCACAGATAAGATTCCAGAAGCTCCCCACGTCAGGGGAATCCTGCCAAGAGTGCCTGGAGAGGTGCTCTCCTTAGGTTAAGGAGGCCTCACAAGGGAAAATCCTGCTGGACATACTTGCAAATCAGGGAGCCTTTGTTTGATTGCTATAGGCAATAAGGCATCGAAAGGTTTTCAATTTCTCCTGGGGAAGATGCACTCAAAGTACACAGGATATTTTCCTCAGGGGCTCTTGGTAGCTTTCCCACAAAAACCCGGCTGCTAGTAGCACTTTACCTGATCTTTGTAAACCAGCTTGCTGGGGCTTGACCGCGGTTTGTCTCTAAATGAGTAAGTGGCCATTTGCTTCTTAAGTAAGTCCAAGAAGTCAGGAGGTGCATATAGGGGAAGGTCATTTAGTACCGGATCGTTTCTTTGCACAAGAGGTGGTTTTTTCCTTCCTTCGTTTTTAAAATTGTAGGTTGGTATCACTGGATTTAATAAGGATTCTTCAATGAAAGTTTTCAAGTGGTAAGTGCCAGGGATAGGAGTGTTCTGTGGAAAATTGACATCATTTTTCAGATCAGTGTGCAAACTGGTAACATCTCCTAAAGCATCATTCTTAGAAGGGTCACTCTTAAGGAGCATTTCTTTCTGTTTTAAGGTTTAATAAAATTTCATCAAATATAGTAAACACTCCCGACAGAACAATATTTCGAGAGAATCATAATTATTTCCTTTCTGAGACAATTGCTGAATTATAGCAAATGGGTTGCGGCCATAGTTGGAAGTTTTGACTTTTTAAAAGGTAACTTCAGAGATACTAAAACTTGAGATGCAGTTGGACCTATAAATCTCAGGTCTCTCTTGAGACCACTCAGGACAGTTCTTGACTAAAAAAAAAGTTAGCCTACTTCTGCTAGGTAGATACTACACATTTCTCTCTAGCCCTCAAAGAGCAGCTAAAAAATAAGAACATGAGGCTGAGGATGAACTGGCAGAGCATGTGGTCTCATCAGCCCAATAGGAGGTTTGGTTCTTTCAAATCACAACCACTGTGGCTGAATGGCCAGACCTGAAAGTTTAGTCACTGCTGCTTTTGTGGCCGAATTTCCACTGAGCACCCGGCTTGGTTCCACCATTAAAATTCCACTTCAAGAAGGCTTTGGCCCATGGGCCACTCTATTATTGAAGGGTGTGGACAGAAAATATTTCTACAATATAGAAATGAGGTCTCTTGAACGGGGATCTTCTGGTCTTTTTTTCTTTCATTATTACCACCTTGCTTTCCTACACTGACCATGTTAACAGAACTTATCACAAGCTCTATGCCATCTAAGATACAAACTCCTTTTATAGAATGGAGGCATTTTCTTCTGTAATCTCACCGAGATCTTAAGCTATATTGACCTTACCTAGATATCCTGTAAAGCACCTAGATTCCTAGAGTTGTTTTAGTTTATACTGCATCTAAAATTTAATGATACTAAAATTATAAACAGGAAATGAGGTCCACTGTTTTCTTAACAATTGCTAGTGACTTAAAAGGTAAGGCTGATTAAAATATCAACGGAAATATGAATCACTTGAATAGAAAGAATAAAAACACACATACTGTTAATGCTATTCTCCACCATCCTTCTCTTTCAACAGATGATGTCTTTCGGGTTGGTTTCTATTAACAAACATAAAATGTGCTTATTCATTTGAGAGGTGATCCCTGGAAGTTAAATATATTTTATAAAACATTTGCTTGAAGAAATCAATACCTGTATCAAATTGGTCAGCCTGAATTAAAATAAAAGCTACATAATGATAAATTTTGCCTAACATATTTCCCTAAATTGCTATTTTACGACTTGAAGTGCTTCTAAATTCCCATCTAAATTCCCTTTGGAAAAATGAGAGTAATAAACATCCTCCTTTCACAAGAGATGTCGTAAGGAAAATTAGATGTCACAAAATTTGGTGTTCCTAGGAAGGACAGAGTGTATTATAATAATTGCATTATAATACAATCCAAAATTGTATTATAATAGATTTATGGTTTAGGTGCTGTGCTGGGAGTTCAAGGTAGAAGTGTATAGTCATCAAATTAATGTGATATTGGGATACCAATTCCCAGTGATATGGCAAATGTTAAAAACTGCCCTTTCCTGTTTTTATATATACTATTATGTATCATACAAATATGATACAGCTAGTTCTCTCAGCTTGTCCAGCCAGCTGTTACACTAAAGAGGCAGAATGATAGAGGACCCAGACAGACTTGGACTTGAACTCCAGCTCTGCCACTTACTAACTAGGAGCACTACATAAGTTACTTAACCCTTATGAGTCTCAACTCCCTCTTAGGAGTATAAAAGTAAGGCATAACAAGGCTGGCATAAGAATAAGCCATTATACATTTAAAGACTTGTACCCACAACCAGGGCTCAATAAACGGTAGCTTTTATTTTTAACCCCTCACCTGCCAAGTTAAAAAGCAGATGATTTTGGTATTCCTTAGTTTCCAAGGACGCTCTTGGTTTCTACAGTAAGTACCCTATACCCATTTATTATTATCCCACATTTGTTTCAGCCTCACCACCAACAGAACACGGTTGTTCAGTTTTTTCCTTTTGTGCTACTTTGACTAGGTGAAGTCATTAAATCATTGAATTGTACTTCCATTTATAATGCTTTTGTTACTACTACAAAATATAGGTTATTTCAAGCAACAGTGCATTAGAGATAATAAACTAATCAGTAAAACTGATATAATTCATTCTTCCTTTTTAGCAACTTATATCCACTCTACTTATGAGAAGAGCTTTAGTTTTACTATGAAATGTGCATTTCTCTAAAAAAAAAAAACACGGTTTCATACACATTGCTAAGTCTGAATTTCTTCCTATACGTTCCCTTTATTAGATTTATGTTGAATCTTCTGTGTTGCACATTTATAGTCACAGAAATCAAACTTTGTCAGGCAGGTCAAGGCAAGTCTCCCACCTCTACCTAGGACCAGGAAAATCAAGCGGCAAGAAGGGAGAAGTAAACACCGTACTTCTAAAGGAAGGTGATTGGCAGCCGCTGTTTTATTTTGCCCAAGGCGGCGATCTAAACTCCACCCACCTATCACTTCAAATTCATTTTAGGGGTGAATCACTTTACAAAAGATAGACTAAACATCCTTCGCCCAAATATATTTAAAAACTAAACGAAGTTATTTAAGATATTTTATAAATACTAAAATAAGAGACAGGGGCAAAAACATGTGCATTCGACTAAGGAAAAACCCATCCTCTAGGCAAAGGGGGAAATCAAAGCAGTTGCCCTGCGCAGATGGTAGTACGGAAGAAGGAAAGAAAATACAGAAAATAAAGGACGAATGAAGGATGAGGGAGAGCAAGGGAAGCGGAAATAAAACCAAGTAGACTCAGATAAAGATCAGAACGACTGGACTGCAGGGTAGGTAGGAGCGCAGGGAGAGGTGCGAAGAGCAAACCAAGGGGCGCAAAGGCCCAGCGTTAGAGAAAAGTGGTAGTTCGGCCAGGGGAGCCCGGGGCAGGGGATGGCAGTGGGTAGTGGGAGCTGGGGGAGGGTGTCTGTACCGAGGAGGTGACTACCAAACTGCCAGGTCCCAGGTCTTCCCTTAGGGAATTGGAGGTGATGGCGATGACTGGTTGGTCCATTGCGGCCTCCTCGCTCCCTCAGCCTGGGATGGCGTCTGGTTGCCAGGAGACGCCTGGGGCCCGCGGGCTGCCGAGCGTGCGCAGGGGACCCGCCAGCTTGGTGTCCCGTGGTGCGTGAAGGGAGGCGGGCGCGCCGAGGCCCCGCGCCACGCCTCGCGCACGGGAAATCGTCAGGCGCCATCACGCACACTTGCGGTGAGAAGTCTAGGGCTCTGGAGGCGTGGCGGAGCCCTGGGTGGGTAGCTGCCACAAGGGAGGCTCCTAAAAGACGGTTTGTGGGAGGCAGAGCGCACCATAATCCCCACCGGCCTTTTCCAAGTTACCCCCACCCTACTCCCCCAAGCAGGTAGACAGTATGCTTCGTAGGCATACTTCGCTTTAGCGCCAAAAATCAGCCTTAGCGCCCACTTTCTAAGGTGGTTTCTAAGCTCCTCCGGAGGGAAATTTGGGGGTGTCTCTTCTGCCTCTCATTTTAGGAGCGAGCACTAGACACAGTGGGCTTCCCTAGCTAAAATGCTATTCCCTTCTTCGACAGCCTGGCAAACCTCAAGAGTCCACTCCTCTGAGAAGTCCTCCTTGGCCTAATCTCTTATAGCCCTAAGGACCCTGTGCCTATCTTTATGGGAGGATTCACTTTGACAAATCATTTCTCCCTTAATTTTTAAACACGTCCCAAACACAGGTTTTTGTCTTAATTCTGAGTCTTCTGAACACGGGAGTGATTAAAATATTTGAATGACTGACCAGTTTAGACAATGGACTAGCACAGTGCTTTTCAAAAATTAATGTACATACAAAACATTTGGGGATCTTATGAAAATACAGATTCAGATTCTGAGGCAGGGCCTAAGATTCTGTAGGTGATTTTTTGAGTAGTGAGAGACTAGAAGACTCCATTTCATTTCTCTTAATGGGATTCTAAATTTAACATAGCCTTAAAAAAAAAAAAAATACGAGGGGGAAAGAAAAAACCCAAACAGACACCAAGTTTGAAATCACAACTGAAATTATAAGGCCAAGAGGCTAATAACCAGAGTTTTCACAAACGTAAGAGATTCAATCAAGTCCATCACTGTTCCTCATTTCACTTTCTTATTTTGGCTGAGCCTGTAAAAGTGGCTCAGCCGACTAGGGACTGGTACCCTAGAGACTAAAGAACTATGAAAGGTACAGAGAAGTCTAGAAACCCATACAAGATGTGAAATAGAAAGAACATCTAAATGAGAAAATAGTTTAAGTATCTCAAAAATAGAAACAGCACAGGTCAATGACTTCAAGGACTTTACCAATCAGACAGACAAAGCATGTAGGATAAACAAAATGTCCTCTTAAGAAAACAGTCTTGACTGGGGAGGGTATGTGCTCTGTTAAGCGCTGTGAATTGTGCAGGACTGTTGAATCTTAGATCTGTACCTCTGAGACAAATAATGCAAGATATGTTAAGAAAAAAAAAAAGAAGAAGAAGGTAGCGGGAGGGGAGGAATGAAGCGGGGGAAATCGGAGGGGTGGACGAACCATGAGAGACGGTGGACTCTGAAAAACAAACTGAGGGTTCTAGAGGGGAGGGGGGTGGGAGGATGGGTTGGCCTGGTGGTGGGTATTGAGGAGGGCACGTTCTGCATGGAGCACTGGGTGTTGTGCACGAACAATGAATCATGGAACACTTCATCTAGAACTAATGATGTAATGTATGGGGATTAACATAAGAATAAAAAAAAATAATAAATAAAAAAAAAACAGTCTTGTACAGTATCACTGAGAAAAATTTAAGATTTTCAGGTTATCATTAACAGCAGTTTTAAAAGGGGGGGCAGGCATTTCTCTCTGGGACTACACTAAGTAGAGGCCAACAGTGCCTCTCTACGCATCAGATCTTTAATAAAAATCTGTAAAATACATCCTAAAATATGGATTTTTAACTGCAGTAGTGATGATTTGTTAGAATTATCTGAGAGCAAACATGCTACACAGTACTGAGGTAAGAATTATCAATTACCACAATCCTGCTAAAACAAAACAGGCAATATGGTTAAGATGTGAAGATAGGACTAGTCCTGAGTTCCAGTAAGACTGTTGTAGTAAGGGGCGCCTGGGTGGCTCAGTCGTTAAGCGTCTGCCTGTGGCTCAGGTCATGATCCCGGGGTCCTGGGATCGAGGCCCGCATCGGGCTCCCTGCTCCGCGGGAAGCCTGCTTCTCCCTCTCCCACTCCCCCGGCTTGTGTTCCCTCTCTCGCTCTCTCTCTGTCAAATAAATAAATTAAAAAAATTTTTTTAAAAATAAATTAAAAAAAAGACTGTTGTAGTAAGTAGAATTGAGGTAAGAATTTAGCTCAGTATGTGCCCAATATGACCAGTTAAATTATATAAAACTGGTCTATACAATTCAGGGGTGCCTGTGTGTGGTGCAGTCGGTTAAGCATCTGACTCTTGGTTTCAGCTCAGGTTGTTATCTCATGATCCCATGCTCAGCAAGGACTCTGCTTGAGTTTCTCTCTCCAGCTCCTTCTGCCCCTCCTCCCCAAACCACCCCTCTCTCAAAAATAAATCTTAAAAAAAAAAACAAAAAACCTGCTGTATCCTTCAATTTCCTATAAAATCAAAATAATGCCAACTTTGTGACTTTTGTGAATATAAAAATCAGCAATTAATGTGAGGTACAAAAGCACCCCAAAATAGTGTGCTCCCTTTCACCTTAACTTAAACTTGAAAATGTAGGAATTGGAAGAACTACCGAAGTGGTAAAGATAACTTTGACTAAATTCCCTTATATTACAGAGTCATAATTGGCCTAACAGCATAGTAACATCAACTGAACACTTATTGCAAATGCCAAGGACTATGCTAAGTGCTTTAACCTTCACTATTGTAAAAGCCAAGTTGGTAAATCATACCCATTTTGCAGGTAACATAACTGAAGCTTAAGATAATATTGACCTCTTTAAGTTTATCCACAGCAGTGATCTGAGCACTGTTGAAATAAAACTCCAAAGCCCATGTTTAATACACTGCAGACTATTGTGCCTCAGTAGCCAGACACATTTATCTTCTCCCACCAAATATCTTGCTGGCCTTCCTTTTGACTAACAGTTACATGTAATGAAGTTCTTCCTATTTGACTGCCTGCCTAATATGTAATAATATAATACCCCATTAGGCTTATCAATGCCTGTAACTTCCCTTTAAAACCTATTTCTCTTGTTCTTCAATAACCAATTTTTTATTTTCTGGTAGAATAACAATGGTATTAAAAATAGTCCAAGATGGTCAGTAACCTGCCAAATGGATTGCTCCCTGGGAAGATAAACCTTGTGGCTATAATAATCAGGTAACAATTATACTTAATGTTTTAATCTTGGCTCTCGTTTGCTATGGAATCTTTCATTAAGTATTTAAAAGGTAGCTACAAAACAAAAAAACCAGATAAGCACTTTTTGAGTAGCTTAAAATTATAGAGAAAGCAATGGTTTAGAAGCAAGCAAAAACTAAAACAAGGTTTAGTTACTGCCAATCCACTCCTAAAGATACCTTTTTTTTATAAAGCATGTCCTGGACACGCAGAACAACTGAAAATTCTCCCTTGCTTTATGAAAAAGGAAAAAGCACTATGAATAAAACATTAGCAAACAGAAGTAAGAACATAATGACACCCCCCCCACTTTGGATTGTTTGTAACAGAAATATTTCTAAAAATCATTGCCTGGCTAAAGTTAATATGGATAAATGGATATGCCAAAGTTGAAAAATATGTAAAAAAGACTGGAAACAATAAACACCTACATTGTCAGCTCCCATGCTAGGTACACTTATAAAAGGTTTTTTAATCTTCCACTTAAACTTTTTGAAGGAAGTATCATAATTTAAAAACTAAACACAATCTAGGTAGTAAAACAACAATACCAACAAAAACTTATCTAAATTACACCAAGTAAAAACCACCCCCATATTTGATTCTCAGAATTGTTCGACCTCGAGTTAATTAAAGGACTCAGATTCAGAGCAACAGTTGGGTAAATTGTAATTTTTTTATTGGAAAACAAATATACAACTTGGAATGGATTTGAGGCAAATTGTGCCATAAGCAGATTTTCTTTAAGTGGCTAAACAAAGTTTAAAAAGCAAGTAACAATAAAAGAAAATGTTTCTGGTACAGGACCAGCAGTACAAAAAAATAGTGTACGAGTACCTGGATAATACACCCGTTTTGCAATAGTGCAACTTTTAAGTACATATTGTTGACTGTCCATAGTCCACGCAGAGTTACAACTCCACACTTCAACAACAACATGCTGACAGTTCCTAAAGAAAACTACTTAAAAAAAAGGCATAACCCAGATGTTCCCTCATTTGACCAACTCCATCTAAGTTTAGATGTGCAGAAGGGCTTAGATATATCCAGAGTAAGCCACATGCAACATGTTACTTGATCAATTTTCTAAAATAAGGTTTCAGGACAATGACAGTAAGATAAGGGAAGAAAACATGGAGGAATGAAGTCCTAATTACTATACATGCATATTTTTTGACAGCAGGGGGAACCTTTTACAGATAAGTTACAAACAAAGAAAAGGCAAATAAACAATTTTGTACAAGAAATTTAACACATTCTGTACAATGTCTTCACTTTGCTGTCATCATTTGTACAAACTCTGAAAAAGAAGAAGTACACAAAAAGTTGCGTCAATGGCAAAAGACTGGCAAAACCAATCACATTACTCAATCTCTGAGAAGTCTCCAATTCCCCTTTCTTTCCTCAAAAATTTACAGTACAAAGGAATGCTAGTTTAGGCTAGAGTTGTCAAGCTTTGTCAAGGCTGGAACTTCATAAACCAAAATTATTTAGGATTATTAATCAATAAACCAAATTAATGCTTTAGACAAGCTATTTAAGCATTTTTGCTCTTTAGTATAACATGATAATTTTGAATTGAAGCATAAGTAAACAGTTTCAGACTAAAGCTAATTAGAGGGATAATACATCCAATGAAGGAAGGAAAATCACC